GAGGCCTGACAGCAGGTTTCCCAGGGATACTCGTGTATCAGACATATCAGACAAAATTGACTCTTTAGCAAACACTCTACAAGTAAGCTGTTTTTATTCATTGCACGTGAAGGCTCTTCTGTGTTGAATAGGGATCGCAGGGGTCTTTTAATTTAAAAGCTTATGCTTTTGTGCAGGATACAAGTCGAAATTTAAACAAAGTAGATCGGATGTTGGTAGAGTATAAGGAACACACAGATGATCAAGCTGAAGCCATGGCGACAGTGAGTATCGGTACAACACAAAATGGTATGGGATTGTCTCTGATTTCAGATAAAGGTGTTGTATTGAGAGCATGCCCTGTGTTCTAGCTGAGAGAGCACTTAGAGGAGTCCAGCCAGCATCTGCAGGCACCGCAACTGAGAAAATCCACTGGTGGGTGGAGCGCCTCCCTCTCCACGCAGCACACCTGTGACCTGGAGGATGGTGACGCCACAGGTACAGAACAAGCCATAGCTTGCTTGATTACATTTGTGGAAGCTTGTCAATACATTTATTATTTGTAATAGTTCATGCTAATAAATTATGTACATTGGGGCATTCATGGCCTAATGGTTAGAGAGTCGAACTTGTAACCCAAAGGTCACTTGTAACCCAAAGGTTTGAGTCTCGGTACCGGCAGGGATTGTAGGTGGGGGGAGTGAATGTACCGCGCTCTCTTCCACCCTCAATTCATAGTTTTCAGTCACGTGTCAGGCTTGAAGTCCTGGCGGGCAAAACATCCATAGAGCTGCAGCACAAGCCTGTCAATTTTCCATCTGTTTCCAATCCACAAATATTAAGATCATCTCTCAAAAGGAAAAAACAAAGACATGTGAAAAAAATGCAAGTTTTGGCCATTTGCAATGACCCCCGCCGCAATAAAACAAAGATATGTGAACAAAATGCAAGTTTTGGCCATTTGCAATGACACCTGCCGCAATATTTCAATTAAAAACAGCGTGACATTCTAACGTTTAATGTGAAAAGTGCCTTTAAAACAGTGATATTAAAAGATCAAAAACGTTTCACTGATGCGTATTTTATACAGGCAAGCAGATGAGCTCGAAATATGAACACAGCACACTTAATGGTTAAGTGTTTTCTTTATAACGGTTTGCTGTGGGAAAATATTAAATGTGAAACTTTGCGCATTGC